ATAATAATAATGATAAAATTGGGTAAAAATATTATTTGGATTTAATTGAAATTGATTTTGGAAAAAAGGGGTGAAAATTTGGATTCTGGGAGTATTTTTAAAAAGAAAATCAGAAACTGGGGGTTCAAAACGCAATTTAGAAAAATTGTGCCCCGTCAGCGCCACGTTAGCAGCCACGTCAGCGGCCCAGTCAGCAGCTCTAGCCAACCAGGACCTGCCGCGTAGCAAGGCCACGTCGACCCGGGAACGGGCCACGTGAGCGATCCGCGTGCGCGCGATCGGATGGCCCAGATGCGTCCCCGCCCGCACGGACGGCCCAGATCAAGCGTGCATACGGACGGCCCAGATGCACGCGCACGGACGGCCCAGATTTAATCCAAATTAAATCGCGATCGAACGGTCCATATTAAATCAAGATAGACGGCTGTGATTAAAAGGCAAAGGGTATAAATAAAACCCCCACACCTGACCACAAAAACCCTAGCCACCAGCCCTCGCCGGAGAAGACGAACCAGATGCCGGAGGAGCCGGCCGCCGCCACCCGCCGCCGCACCGGGGAGTTTTCTGACCGCCGATCGAGGTAAATTTCATGCCCCCGGCTCGTTTTTCAATGCTGAGTTCTCTGGTGGCCAAATCGGAGCCAAACTCCCGACCAAACGGCCGAAAAACACAGCCGAAACCCTGCGGCGCTGCTGCGCCCCTCCTCGATTTTTGCCTCTGATGAGCCCCTTCCCGGCCTCCGTTTGATACAATTTTTATATCACCGTGATCACCATTCTTTCCTCTACAGGTTGATCGGAGCCAAATCACCAAAACACGAACCACGCCGGAGAGCCGCCGCACCCGAGAGCACCGCCACCGGTAAGCTTCGGTTTTTCGTAATTTTTTGGCCCCCCGAGGGCCTTAAGGTTGTTTTATCGCAGGGACCGATGCAAGTGTGACCGAATTCGACCGGAAACGGCTGAAAACGACCAACCCGAGGCGAATCGCCGCTGCAAGCGGCGGCGGAGCCGCCGTGCCGGAATTGCGATATTGGCCGAAAGGGGCCCTGGGTCTAATTTGGGATTTTTTGGGGCACGTGTAGGTACCAGTAGTGCGTTTCAGTTCCCCGAGAAAAATTCAGGGAAAATTAGGGA